CTTCATTTAATTACTTATTAATTATTATTAATTAATACTTATTATTATTATTATTATTTTAAACTGACAACCTTAGAGATCTTTATTGACTGACCAGTGTGGGTTCAGACTGAAAGGCTGTGGTCTGGGCCACAGCAACAGAAGTGGGCAGCTCAGTGGGCCGTCTGAGACTGCTAACTTCATTTACTTATAACCTCTGCCTTACCTTTTTGTGTAAAGACAGACATCATCAAGCCTGTAGATTAAGGGTTAAAGTATCAGTTAAGAATAACAAAGAGAAAGTAGAAATATACCAGAAAATCAGAACTAAAATGGCTACATTAGCAACTGACACCCAACTTATTCATAAGCTTCAGGATTGACTAAGAAGACATTAAAATATGGGGCCAGGGATTTAGCTCAGTGGTTCCGGCACCTGCTTTGCAAGTGCAAGGACCTGAGTTCTATCCCTGGTACCAAAAAACAGAAACAAACAAACAAAACTGCACACTGAAACATCAAGAGAAAAGCTCTTTTTCTGAATTCTAAAAGATCAAAGATTTTAGTACAAAGAACATCTACTTGAGATGTAGAGATATGGCTTCCTGTTCCAGCTCACAGTCATAGAATTTTGGGCAAGACAATAGACAACTCTTAGTTCTGCTGTCACTGCTTGTGAAAGGAATAAGGATGGTTAACTCATAGGATTGCAGTGAAATAAGGTGACATCCTACATGTGAAGCATGCACCAGACACATACAAGGTCTACAATGAACCACAGTTCCTGTCTCTGTTTATGTAAGAGACCTTCAGTAAGAATGGTGCAGAACATGCAGTACCATTCTTTCTTCATGAATGGAAAATTGGATCAGGAACCATGAGGCTTGTTTTCTAACTAGAAAACCAATCTGCCGCTTAGGATTGGAATAAGGCCACTCCTAGGTTTTGGGTACATTTGAAAGGACGTGAGGAATTTTCTAGGCTGAATTGCTGCTGCTTGTGCAATTTTCAGTGGGTAGTCTGGTGCCAGGAGGCTGAAATAAACAGGATGACCTGTTGTAGGCATCCTGCGGTCCCACTGAGATATGCTTGTGTGTGGAAAGTGAATATTGGGAGGTAAGGGAATTGTGGGCTTGGGACTCTGCACACAGGGGTTTGATCTATGCTCTGGAATAAGTTTACAGTGACCTGTGGCAGACCATTAATCCCATTTGGAGCGCAGTTTTTCCACTGGTATATCCAAGAGGTTTAGTTACACTTTCTCTCTGAAGGCCTTTTTCCAATCTTATATTTCATTAGCCAGGAAAAAAAAGGGTGTTTGGGTATAAGCTCATTAATTCTGGTTAAGATTTATCAATTCCCTCTTTCATCAACATTTATTGAACGCCTATTGCCTGGTAGACGCTATAATAGACCCTAGGATATGGATTTTAAAACTCCCTGCTATTCAGAGAAGATAGACATGAAAAGTACATACTGTACAATTTCGGGTGTATATATATGAAACTACTATAGGAAATATAAATCTTTCACAACATAAAGTAGGCCAGTGGTTTGCTGAAGTAGAAGAGATGTAACAACTAAGTGCAATGTGGAATCCTTGGATCGGGTCCTGGACCAGCAAAAGGAAAGTAAAGACAAAACTGATTAAATGCAAATAAAGTCTATAGTCAGTAAGATTGTCTCTGTGTAATTTGTAATGACTATGCTTATGTAAGATGTTAATATTTTAAGAAGCTGTTTGAAAGTTTGTACTACTTTGGAACCTTTTTCTTTTTTTAAGTCCAAAGTGATTTCTAAGTGAAAAGCTAAGAAAGAAGGAAAGAAAGAAGTGTGACCTTTGGCAAATTTCTTTCCCTCTCTGAATCTTAGTTTCTTTGTTTAGCTTTCTGTTACTGTGACAAAATGTGTAACATACATCGTGCCGCAAGCCTGTGGTAAAGAAGCTAGCTGCTCATTTCTTGGTGGCCAGGAAGCAAAGAGAAAGAGGAGTAGCCAGGGTCCTAAAATCCCTTTTAAGAGGGTACTCAGTGACCTAAATTCCCCCAAGCAGGCTCCACCTCTTAAGGTTCCACCATCTCCTGAAAGTGCCTTGGGCTGGGAACCAAATCTATATGTGTCTTTTGGGAAATTTAAGATCCAAACTGTGGTGTTCTTCCTTTGCAGAGCTGGGCAATCATCCCATCTATTTCACGTGTCATGAGGAGAAAATGGAATACTGCAAAGTAGCTATGTGAATGTGTTAATCTGTAAAGTTATTCCTGCTGTTAGTAATAGCAACACAACTGTCTTCAGCTGCTAAAACCAGGAATGTTTCACCGAAATGAAAAACATCTGGGTACAAACTACTTCCACCCATTTGTTGTGACCTTGTCCAGAGAAATAATGCCAGCTTTGTGGCAGAAAGGCTGTTGTCAAGGAGATGGCTCCAGATAGCCTAAACAGCTGGTGGCAGTGACATCACCTCCAGGCATGGCAGAAAGAAAAGCCAGTGATACAGGCAGGGAAGAGGCCTTTGTCTCTAACCGTGAAACCACTCCTGTAGCAGGAAAAACAACTTTCCATGTAACCGTTCCTTTGTGCAATTACTTTACTTTACTTCCAGGTTCACTAAAGGGATTTGCATTGAATCTAGGAACATGGTCATGTGGAATAAGGCAATGGATTAATCTTAACAAGAACTGCTTATAGGTTCTTTCTTCTTTATAAATTCCAAAGTGCCTAATGAAAATAATGCACCGTATGAGCCTGACTTTGTCCCGTATCATACACAGGAAAACCAAGACAAATCAAAGGGGAAGGGATCCCAAGACACAGGATAAGGTGGAGTCAGAATCCAGGCATCCAGATTTCCAGACGTGAAATCATATTACTTACATTAAGACTGACCCCTTAGCCACCTTTGGGAGCAGTTACCAAAAACCAGAGCCTGAAGGACACCTCACTTATGTATTGTGTTGTCTGGATGTAGACCTTATCTCCTACTCTTAAATTCTAAGGTGGAGAAAAATGAACAGATGTGGAAGACAAGCTGCCTGAAACAGTTGGGTTATTGGATTTCAGAGAGACCTCTGCTCAAATTTTAGATCTGACACGTCCCAGTGTGGGACCTCGAGTAAGTTGTTTTTACCTGCCCAGCCTCAGACTTCTAAAGGATGAGTAAAAGAGTACTGCAGTGCCCACTCCAGAGGGTTGGTGAAGGTTCACTGAGACAGTGCATGTGATAAGCCTGGCTAGAGCGATACATTAGATATGCTCCAAAAAAATGTAAGACCTCTTTGTTTCCTTTCTAAGGTGCTTTCATTGCTGAATGGAAAATTATTTCCTTCAACTGGGAAGTGATAATTTATAACTCAGCCTCTCTCACCAGAATAGAGCTGGTTGTATGTTAGTAGCTTTGAAAAAAAGACAGAGTAATCACCTTCAGAGTAGTAAGGTCCAGAGAGGTCCAGCCATCCTTCATTTAACAGATTTAGAAATAGAGAGTAGAAGTGGTCTGTCAAAGAGCACAGAGTGAATGGGAAAGCCAGCGTGGGAACTCTGACCCTCTAGTTTCCCTGCCATTGGATATACTCATCTCATGGTTTGAAGTGGCATTGGCAACAAGTGTCAGCTGTAGAGCTTCAAAGACTGCCCTGCCCTGGAATGCCAAACCCTCTTTCTTTTTCACCCTATTATTGCTGATTATGGGGTGAAGATTTATTGAAGATCTGGGGAAGGAAGAGGGGCTGGTGCAGAGGTGTGGGCTTTGTAGATGTCACTCCAGTTGCGTGTGTGTGTCTGTGTATGTGGACATTTGGAGTAGGGAGGGAAAGAAAATGGAAATATATGGAATAACTATCAACAGAGCTCCTGAAGATATCTCTGGTCATCTTCACAAAAACCTTGCAGATAGGTCTGAGCACAGTTTTCCAGACCGACTGAGTCATTCATTTGTTTGATATGTATTTTTAAACATCTGCCCGGTGGCAGTCACAGTGCTAGAAGATACAGCAGTGAACAATTCAGATCACAATCCCTGCCCTCATGAAGCTTCTAGCCTAGTGAAAGACAAAGACATTAAAAACAGATGTACAGTTCCAAATTATGTTAAGTGCTACAAAGGAAAAATACTGGTTGCTAAGAACATAAAGGGACTTGATTTAGTTGCCAGCATTAGGGAAGGCCTCTTTTAGAAAGCAACTAATCAATTAACTGAAGGATAAGGAAACTTAAGGACACAGAATTGGTCATGACTACACGGATGTCAACATCTACTGCTCAATCATGTTTTCAAGTTATTTTCATCCAAGCTTCTCCCAATAGCCTACAGAGGAAGAAGTAACACTGAGAGGGGAGGGAAAGTTAATTTCAAAAGGAATCTCTGCCCAAATTATCTATTTTGTTATTGTTGTATGCTTTGAGAGAGACAACCAGGGTTAAATAGAGCCCTGATGTAGCTGACAGGAACCCATATCTGGATCCAGTTGATAAACTTACTGTGCATTACTTTGGGCCCCAGTTTACTGATTACAAGTGAGTTTGAGTCCTAAAAGTAATAAGGGGTCATTGAAAGGTAGGAAGAATGCGGGGGACCACTTCGCATATACGAATGAGCTGCTCAAAAGGAAGTATGCAAATTACTGCTTTTGTTAGGATTCTGTGGGTAGGATTCTTCTAAAGGGAAGCAGCATCTGATTACATTTCAAGGCAAGGCAGAAGCCATTAGACTGTATGGACCCTAAAATTTAAAGAGTCATTATATTATAAAAGCAAACACTGAATTCTGTTCCAATAAAGGGCGGTATTCCCATCTCCCGCTCAAATTAACGGACCAAGCCTGGTTTTCACCCTTAACAAAGATGGCGGCCTCCCCTGTCCCCGCCCCAAGCGCCATCATAAAAAATGGCAGCCAGCTTCTCTTTCCTTAATTTGGTCCACACAAGAATTTACACTTTGCCCTTAGTTAAGATGGCACCCACCAACGTTTCCCTGCCCGGCCTCCGTCCCTGGCAGATCGGCTTCACTGCGCGAGCTTCAGTGATCGCGCCTCACTTCCGTAGGAAGAAGCGCCGGGAAAGATGGCCGCAGCTGCGGTTTGAATTCCAGCGGCGCCTCCACAGCTGAACAAGAGCTGAGTTAGATGGGGCGGGGACCTGGGAAGCTGGGCCGGTCGCAACAGCCGAGGGATCCAGTGGCGCCGCTGCCACAGACAATAATCCCATAGTTGCCTTTGTGTCCATGATGGACTCCGTGTTGGAAGAAGACGTCACTCTCCCCAGGACTTTCAGTGACTGCAGGTGCGGCCGAAGCGTTGGGGATTTGCGGTATCTGGGCCGGGTTCCCACTGATGGGGTTTCCATCTAACCTGGCTTTGGGGTTTGCTCTTGAGGGTGTGTGGACAAGGGCAGTGTGTGGGGTGGGTTCCTTTGGGCAAGCTCTCTTTTGGGGACCACCTGCTGATACTGACTGTGGGATCTAGGGCCCTCTTTCGGGTCCCGCCTGCTGATAAAGAGTTTGGGGCCTAGGAGTCCTGAACTGCCCTACACTCGGCTCTGTTTTGGGGACGTACTTTGAAGAGCTTATGAAGGATAGTAAGATGAGAACTGCTTGGAGTATGCCAAAAGTGGAGGCTGTTCGGGGGACAGAGATCTTGCAACACTTGTTCATTACGGTTTGAGGGTTTGCATTCATTATGGGGAGTGTAGTTGTTATGACTAGACTTTGATTATGGGGTCACACAGTACCCATCAGAGGCAAGGGAGTGCAGTGGTTAAGAGCTTTAGTTGGAGATGGAAGATAATATGTGTGTGTGTGTATATATATATATATATATATATTTCATATACATATATATGTTTCATATACACCTTATATGCATAGCCTAAAGGTAATTTTATACAGTATTTTTAATGTGCTTGCACTTTGATTGTGACTTGTCGCATGAGGTCAGGGGTGAAATTTTCCATGTGTGGCTGTCATGTTGGTACTCAAAAAGTTTAGGATTTAGGATTTTGGATATTTAGATTTAGGGTTGTTCAAACTGTATTATCAGTAGTGATAGAGATCAGGGAACAATGACTGAGACTGGCCTTTCACTGAACCTTGCCCAAGTGGTGGTTGTAGTCTTTATTGCTGGTGGGGGCTGAGGCCGTTTGGAGGCCTGAAGGACTGCTACCCTGCTACAGGCTATTTTGGTTGTCCTGGACTTGTTTGAAGAGTGGGTAGAAGGAAGAGAAAGAGAGGGCCTGACTGAGAAACTGTAGTGTTTATCCATTTCTCTGGAATAGGCTACTGGTTTTAGTCAACAGATCCTGTGTAAAAGTGGCTCTGTTCTTTGTTGTGCGCACCAGGTGCCATTGAGAGTGAAGTGGGCACTGTTAACTTTTATGCCTGTGATCTTTGTTATTTTCTTGTTGCTGAGACACAATTCCTGACACACACAACTCTAGGGAAGGAAGGTTTATTCCAGCTCACAGTCCATAGTCATGGCTGGCTTCAAGGGAGAGGGGCATGGCCGAGGAGAAACATCTCATGGCATGGTTGTGAGAAGTAAGGAGAAATCAAGGGAGAAGGATAGACTTCTCCAGGGCGCGCTCCCAGTGGCCCATCTCATTTGACCAGGCTTCATCTCCTGGTCACATTTAGCTGTAAACTCATTAGTGGACCAATCCATTGATGAATATCACACCCCCCAAAATCCATTGACCTCCCCAAAGCTCCATCTGAGGCTTTGGGGGCCATCTAGATATAAATCATAACACCTGGATAGCAAGATAGGCATAAACAGGTCCTACCTTGGGCAAATCTGGGAAATGTTTACTCTGTTTGAGAACCTCCTATTGGTTATCAGATAAAGAGTAAAAGCCCTTTGTAGCCAGCTCTGTATCCTGTGGAAGTTCATCCTGTCCCTTTCTCTGCTTGTGACTACCTCTGCCTCTCACCTGGATTGTCCTGTCTTTCTTCACATCTCTAATAGCCTTTACTACTGCAGCTTGAAAGCTTTTCATTCATAATCTTGTCTTTACTGGCTGCTACTTTGGGCCTTTAATGCTTCTTACTGCGGTTAGATAAAGTTCATTCTTGGAAACAGCTCTTTTCTTTAGTGTTGGTTGACCGAACACTTGGGCTTTGGGACCCAGACCTAACTGGGTTCAGTCCCACGTTCTGCCACTTAACAACAGCCCTGTGATTTTGGGCAGGCCTTATCCTCTAAGTGGTATTCTGTCTATCTCTCTCTCTGCAGTTCTGGGGACTGAACCCAGAGTCTTTGCACTGAGCTATATCCCCGGCCCCTTTTGTTATTTTGAGACAGGGTCTCCCTAAATTGCTGTATTGTACAAGCTGGTGTCAATCTTGGGCCTCTTGCCTCCGCCTCCTAGAGTGCTGGGATTATAGACATGTGTTACCACACCTGGCTGAGCCTCAGTTTTTACTATCTATAAAATGGGTTAAAGCCAGGGTTGGCATAAGAATTAAAATGACTCTAAAAGGGTTTAGCCCAATGTTTGGCCCTGGGTAGCACCTCAGCACATCTGTAGACATTCTCTTTTCCTTCTTATGCCTGCCTTTACAGAACCTAAGTGCTGAGTACGTTCCTGATGACTAAGGTTTTATCTGTTCTAAAGTCTATGAACGTGGCTCCGTGCCACCTTCAGGATAAAAGTCTTTACTATGACCTACAGGGTCTTTCATAATCTGGCCCCATCTACTTCTCTAGTCTCTCTCTCTTAGTTACTTTTCTTATTGCTGAGACAGAATATTTGATACCTAAAGTTAAAGGAGGAGAGGTTTATTTATGTCACAGTTTGTTGTGTTTTCATTTCATAATCAGGATGCCAAGGTAAGGTGGATGGCAGACAGGCACTGCAGAGGAATAAACAGTTCATTGTAGGAAGAAGGTAGCAAAGCAAGCAAGGGATGACTACAGCTCTTTCTGTCCTTTATGTCTTATCCAGGATACTTAAGGTGGGTAGCCCTGACAGATACGTCATCCTGGTCCCCTTGATCCTAGCATTGCACCATGAATCAATCCTAGCATCACACACTCTGGATTCAGCCACCTCTGAAAAAGGCCCACCTATGACTGCAGGAGGTCTTGGGGGGAGATCTAGACACGAGTCATAACAGTCTCTTCCCTCATTTCCCATCCCTGTCTCTTCAAGCCCTTCACCTATGCCTGGCCACCAAACTCGTTGTCATGAATGATCTTGCCATGTTTATTACCAACAGGCCTGTGCACTTGCTGTTTTGCTGCCTGGGTTATCCTCCTAATTCCTCTTTGTTTTATCAAGTCCTGTTATTTTTCAGGGTTCTGTTTTGGTGTCACCGCTGGGAAATCTTCACTGCCATTTCCAAGCCTCAGCTAGGCCTTCTATACTCTTCCTGATAAATTTTATCTGTCACTGACCCCAGTTGACCTCACCAAATCTTGTTGAGTGGCACTGTCCATTGTACATAATTTGAAATTTTCTAGCAGCCACCTTAAAAAAAATAAAAACAAAACCAGATTTTTTTTCTTATAGTGCTGAGAAATCACCCAGGCCCTCACTGTGTGGTTGGCCAGTGCTGTACCACTGTTACCCAGCCAGAATAGTGAATTTAGCAATAATATATATTTTCTGTAGCCTAATATTTCTCTATAGTAATATATATATATACATATATATATATATATGTATATATATATATATATATATATATATATATTTTTTTTTTTTTTGGTACTGGGATCAAACTTGGGACCTTGTGCTTGCAAGGCAGGCAGCAGAACCACTGAGCTAAATCCCTGGCCCTCCGTAAAATTATTCTAATTTGTAACTCATAGAAAAGTCATTTTTGAGATATTTTGCATCCTTTTTATCTTTCTAAATCTTTGAAAATTAGTATGAATTTTACACTTACAGCACTTTTCAGCTTGGACAAACTACATTTTAAAAAAATTGGGCTGGGGATTTAGCTCAGTGGTACCATACCTGTCTCACAAGCGCAATGTCCTGAGTTCGCTCTCCAGTACCACAAAACCACAACAACAAAAACCAATCAAAAAAACCTACATTTAAAAAATGAATTTTATTGGCACATGTTAGGTGTGCAATATAATGACATTCATCATTGGAAATTTGCACCTTTACATAATCTATCCTGGTTCTTATTTTATTTCCTCATTCCCCTGCCCTCTCTTTACCCCTCCACCCCTTCCTATTTACAAAGACTTTGTTTCCATTTTTTCATTTTCTCACATTAATTCTATTCCCTTCTTTCCTTTTCCCTACCCCTCCTACTTTCCCTTTCCCTTTGCCCCTTTCTTCCTATTTCTATTTCCTGTTTCCACATTATCTATTATACCTTTTAGTCCTGATTTATACTTTGTTTCTCACACCAGAGAAACTATTTGGTATTTACACGTGTGTCCTATTTATTTCACTTAAGAGTATGGCCTCAAGGTAATCCACTTAGGTGTAAATGTCTAATTTCTCATTCTTTATGGCTGAGTAGTACTCCATTTTAAAAAAGAAACACATTTCTTTATCCAGTTTCCAGGCTGTTTCCAAATTTTAGCTATTACAGACTGTGCTGCTGTGAACATGGGTACACATATATTGCTGTGGTATGATTCTTTTAATTCTTTTTGGAAGATAGCCTTCAGGGGAATAGCTGGGTCAAATGGGACTTCCAATCCTAGTTCTTTGAGGTATCTCCATACTCATTTCCACAGTGGTTGCACCAGTCTACACTCCTACCAGCAGTGGAGAAGGGATCCTTTTTTCCCACAGCCCCACCAGCATTTGTTATTGTTTGATTTCATGATAGCAGCCATTCTTTCTGTGATGAGGTGGAATCTCAGCATTGTTTTCACTTGCATTTCTTGAATGACCAGTGAAATTGAACATTTTTTCATATGTTTATTTGCTATTTATATTTCTTTGTCTGATAAATGTCTATTATTTCAGATGCCCAATTTTGGATTGGGTCTTTAAATTTGGGAAGTCTGATTTTTTTAAAGGTGTTTATATATTCTAGATAGTAGACCTTTGAGGAACAGCTGGTAAAAAATTTTTCCCACATTGTGGGTTGTCTTTTCACACTGTTGGTGGTTTTTCTTGCTGTGCAGAAGATTTTTAATAAGAGGAGATGATACTTGTTGATTGTTTGTGCTAGTTCATGTGCACCTGAGGTTTTGTTTATAAAGTCTTTTCCTACACCAATGTCTTCAAGAATTCTACCTAGCCTCTCTTCCAGCTGGTTTAGTGTTTCTGCTTTAATATTTAGGTCTTTAATCCATTTCAATTTTAGTTCA